TGAACCTCGTCGGACTGCGACAATTGAACTGGCGGATACGCCTGCATGTTGAGCTTGTAAGTGTGTTCGGTTTTTATCATAGCAAAAAAATGCTTCAATAACGTTCCTTTTCTGTTCATTACGGTTAAATTGTTAAACAAGAGTTTGGACTTCCGGTAAATTCAGGAAACGCAATAAAAGCAGATGAGCACGAAGATAACCTCGAACACTATCCCGTCCACAAGAAACAGTGCATTTATTCCCTCATCGGATTTATTTACAATAGTTGGCGCGCACACACAGAGAGAAATGCGGCACAAATGACCAGGATGTAATTCCTTCGCCCATGATCGTTGGCGAAGTGTTGAGGGTGGCCAAAGCTCCGACAACTGATTATACTGGCTTAAAACACTTAACATTAAAGGTCAGTTTGGTATTGAGCAGATAAATGCAGGATAAATGGACCGAGAGAAAGTAAAATGCACGCACACGCACACAGGGAAATTGCTAACCTCAAAATGATTGGTAGAGAGTTCATGTTGTTGCTGAGCCTCAGAAAGAGACGACTGCAAGTCGACAGCAGCTCTGCGCTCCACCGCAAGATCTCGACTCAGCTTTGCGACACGCTCGCTGAGAAGGTCTTTAAGTTCTTCTGATTTTTCGAGTTTCTGCCTCGAAGCGTCGAGTTCATTCTGGTACTTTTTTATGGCAGACTCCTATAAGATATTACAAAAATAAAATGCTGTAAGACGAAGAAGAAGGAGGAGAAGTTTAGAGTTTGCTAGGCACTGAGGCCAAGGACTCCCAGGGTAGCATTTTCGAAGTTGGCAAGTGAAATAGATGTGACTTGCGGAAGCCAACTCAAAATCGAGTGAAAGAGACTAGGTTTAACAATCGCTTAGAAACCGACAATGTTACAGAAGGTGAAACGGCGCGTGTTGATTAACAGAAAATCAAACAGAGGACTGCCATGATGCAGCGTTGCCACTAACTTCGATACGAGTGCATTATTTGTTGTCAGACAGTATTATTCGATGCCAAACTTAGTGCCCCCGCTTCTGTGTGGGGTTAGGGTTGGTAGAATAATCTGCGATAATACAAACTTATATTCGTTGATGAACGTTCACCGACAGCTAACCGAACTCAAGGGCCGCAAAGGCCAACTGGACTACATGCGTCTCAATGAAAACCTGCTGTAAAACACCCCTGG